CGTTCCAATGTTTCGTTTCGAATTTGATTTGAATGTCACTTCATTGTTTTTTTTTTGGTGTCCAACTGAATGAGAATTAATATTTTTATTTCATATTCTTTCATATCACTTCACGTTACTTTACGTAGGATTGGACTGAAGACGAAATGAGTATTTAATGCGTACATCATTTTCAGTATCCTGTTGCTGTCGTCACTATTGAACTCTGGACCACATATTGATCCGAGCGAACTTCACTGTGCTTCAGAAGCGTTTTATAAATCCACTTCCGTAAAACTACCACACGACGTATCGTCTTCGTCACTATTCGACGCCCTACCGAAACCTGAGGCTCATAGTGATAATATTACTCGAACAACCGATAGTGGTGACCTCGTTCCATCACCTCTAGGAACAGACTCGATTCGAGCAGCTACCGCCGGTACAAACGAACAAAATAGCAACACTGATAAGGTACGTTGCTGTTGTATTCTTTTCAGATGAACACTAACGATTCCTTGCTCTCCAGTTATTTTTTAAATACAAACGATTTTTTTTAAATTTTTAATCTTTCTTTACAAATCGTACAAATGAATTTCGAACTCAGGATAGATAACCCATATTTAGTAAGCTCAAGCTTGATGGCCAAGAAAATAATTCTTATATCATTTATGTTCCGTATAAATAGCGTAGATACAACTTAAAATATAAAAAATCGAACTTGAGTACCCGATCCAGCCCTAACTCGGTCTCCGAAGTCGGATTCTCTCGATGGTGGGAAGTACGCGATCCAACCTTAACTTTATAATTATATCACATCATTCCTAGTGCGTAGGTTGATAAACGCATATGCCAAAGTATTAGACAAGCTGTTTGTTGCTCTCGATGAATCATCTAAATGTTGATGTCACTGATATGAAAGTAATTATTTGCTGTGAAAAGTTCACTGCATTTAAATGCTTATCATTCATCAGCACTTCCGCCTCTTACTTACGATATAAATAAAACACTTTTGATATCGTCATGCAGTGCAACTCTTCATTAATCACTTCCCACAACAGTCACGTCAAATATTTGAAATATTGACAGAATTTTTTTTTGTTAAATATCATCCTCAATTTTTTGTTCTTGAATGATCTTCTTTCACTGTTGGTGCTGAAAAGTTTTTACAAATTCGATCGATCATTGATGATCTATCGACAGGTGTCAGTGCAATTCGTTTTCGAAGAAGTTTAAAACGCTGAGTCATCAACATTTTTCTTCTTGCTCTTCATTTCAGCAATTTTCATTCTCGCTTCCCATTTCGTCTTGTTTATTTGCCATAGCGATATTCTATAATAGAACGATGTCTTCGATGATGTTCATCGCATCGTGGATGAAGGAAATAAGTGATTGTTTGATTGCTCAATGCATTTCAAGAAGAACTGATGAGAAACGGAAATGTGGCGAATAATTCGTGATGAATACGAGTTGATTCAATGACGATTTTCAATGACGTGATAATTCACACCAATGAAATATTTCTTCTGAGGTGACCCGCACCTCCCAAGACGAAAACGGAGCTTTCCAGTCTGTTTGGAACGGATTTTTACCGTTAACATAAAAAAAACCTTTCTCAAAATGATCCTACATGATTTCATATCCCCACTGAGAGACGTCGGATTTGCAAATCGAAAGTTGAGGTAACTTTCGGCTGATAATACTCGATAGAAATGGAAAAGTTGTCTTATTCTGGTGCGTTTGAACGGCGC